CGGGGATATATGAATAAAGTTAAAAGTGCATAATTAATTTTATGAGTGAATGTATTATTCATATGCGTTGATATTGGTTATGTTGCAGAATGGACATACGAGGTATAGTACACAGGGGAAGTTGTTAATAATATTCCTTATGGCTAGGTTCCTAGTCGTATTGTCCAATATACGGAGGGTGGATAGTTTTGGCATTTGCATCAAATATAAGCTAGATTTCGCTGTTGTATGATACGCGATTGTGGCGCATGATCTTTCCATACTGTTAAAATAAGAATTAGGTGTACCATAAAGAATCCCCTTCGCTAGCCGTATGTAATATGAATTCCCTGTTATCTTTATATTTTGTGAAATGTAATCTGTACTGCTTCCTTCCTTTGGGGGAGAGGTTCATTTGGTCATTGTGAACCTCCAAGTACAAAATAGAAATTGATAAAGGGGGCAATATACGGAGCAAAGTTCCTTACGATAAGTGGTGATTCCCCTGGCAATCTTGCAAGATGAATAAATAATTGCCGAAAACTCCTGATAACAATATGTGACAATTATAATGAAGCATTCGAAGAATGTGCTTAGCGTGATTTCTCTGCAGTGTGGCGGCTGAAATATGTAAGTTTTACGTATAAATATCGAGCGTATATAGCTCAATAGATGGTATCGACGAGTGGAACATTGGAAGAACTATTACGGTTTCTTCTTTTTTTTCCTCTTTTTGATACATTTTGCAATATTAAAAACATCCTTCATTAATGTGTATTCACTGCACTGTGAAACTATGATGGCGGAGTGGACACCCGACTAAGAAGCCATGTTTCTCCAGAATACATGATTCCCTCAAGTCAGAAACGAACGATGGAAGACATTTCTGCTAATTATTCAATTAATAATTTACTCAGGAAATGAGTAGTTATCTCTTATTATGAAGGGGGACTCAGTCGTGTTAATCTGATATCTTCTGAGAGAACCATACCCCCCTGAGTATTGAGTTTTAAAATGAGCTGTGGATCTTATGCCAATCTTAATGCAATCATTCAATCTGTTTCTACATGAAATTAATATTAATTATGAGGGACGTTAATTCTGAATAAGAAGATTAACAAAGTCGAATTAAGTATAAGTGTGAATAATAAGAGTTAACCCTTCTTCGGCGTACAATAGGATGATGAGAAGACAGAATATTGCAATAATTCTATTTAAGGATTCTTCTTGATCGGTTAAAAGAGCTGTTCAATACTGGGAATATGCTAACGCGATTTGATTAATTTCGTCGAGAAGATTACCTATTATGGGCAAAATTTAACAGAGGAAGAGACAGAAAAATACCAGTATTACGTTTCTATGTAAAACCCCCAGGCCTACAGCACAATCAATGTATATCAATCAAGACTCAAACATGAAGCAACAGGCAATGAGCACAATAATGATGCACCATTTGGTTGTGATTACCCCCAGATATATATAATACAAGAGGGGACAAAATTAGTGAAGGAGTTGTGGGGGTGGTTATAACATATTACAACAGATACAACATAAAGATTAAGAGAACATTCCAGTATTGAGTCATAAGAGGAAACTAGGAATAACAGATATGTGTAAGTGTACCCAAGTTTTCCATTCTGAATATCATGAATTATAGTAAACTAAGAGAGGAAGATATCACATTCGTCATTTGGAGGTGTTAGGCGAATTTAGATTATGGGTATGAGCTCGGGATGCATCAATTTCGAGAAGAATAAGGAGCATATTGGCCCAAGAAATACAAGTAATTTACATCCCTTTATACCTTGCTATGATTTATTGATAACAGCCTAGGTGTTGTTGACTCTTTTACACCTTACGATGGAATATATATATATCCATGGATACACATACATATATGTATATTTTTTCCTTCTTATATGTGGGAATAGTTCATGAGTCATAGAGATAAGGGGTGTTAACCAGGTGGAATATGATGCCCCTATGGCGTCATACAGGAGGGGAATACGAACAGATGGAACCGAACAAGCACAGAATAGTCCCAGTGCTACACATTTCTACGCGAAAAGAAGATATAGTTACTAGTATATGCAGATTAAGATTAGAAGCTTGTTTATTTGACATAAAAATGTGCCCCCTAAAATTACACCATTGTTCATGACGTGTCTCATCTATGCATATATAAGCGGAGTAATGGATTGTTGAATTTGAACTGGTATAATATGAGTTCTAATTTTATATTGAACTTTACTTGTTTGTTGCATACGATTGAAAGGGCTGATATAGCGAGTAAATGTGTTTATGTCCCTCTGTGGGAACTCCTGTGAGTGCAATGGAATAGAGATATGCAGATCAAATGGGTAGAGCGTGAAATGGTGCGCCGTTGTGTTTAAATAGCTCATTTTATAGTTATCTTATTTTTATGAATGCGTTCCCATGCCCCATGTTTCCTGTGAGTGTGTTTTTTGATGTTTGGATATTTTCACCAGTAGCCCCCCGGATTTTGCATTCTTCTTGTGTATGTTTTATGATGTTTCTGCATTCTTATGAGAGTATTTTTCCATGGCGCCTCTCGCCTATATATGCGTCCTCCTCTGCTCCATTGTTGCGAGCGTCGTTTCATGTTGGGTAATTTTCGCGAACGCACTTCCATGGGGCTTAATTCTTTGCGCATGACCTTCCATGTGGTGTAATTTTCCCCGACTGTGGCCTCATGTGGCTTAACCCTGCCGATGTCCTTCCATGCTGATAAAATCTTGGCAGGGTCCTCTCATGTGTTATATCTGTTGCACGCTTGTGGTTTCGTTCGGCTTTATTATGTATATTTCTCTATTCAATCTTTTCATGAGGATACACCTTCCTGCTGCATTCCTTTGACGAAATTTTTCTGCAGAGTCTGTTTATGATGACATTTCTCGTAGCATTCTTATGAAGATGCCTTTATCTGTTGCATCTTCATCACGATTCCTTCTCGTGTTGTTCTTTCATGATGATGCCCCTTTTTCCTGTCTTCTTATGATGCTGCCCCTCCGGGTTATTGCGCTGTTCTCGTGTTACGTCACTGTGCTGCTTTTTCTCTGGGTGGCATCTTTTTAAGGATGCTTATATTTTCCATGTCATTATGATTATGTTCCTCCGGGTGACAACTTCGGGTGGTTACCTCTCCTTCCTGCGTGAATATGAAGATATTCATGTGTGCAGCATCCTTTTCAAGGTGATATTTCCTGTTTCATCTTTATCGAGTCCTCTTTCCTCTTGACGCCCTATTGTGAAGAATCATTCTTGTTAGGCATTTTCTTCTTTGAAGATCCATCTCTCCGCATCGTACTGAATATATTTTTTTGCGTGCCATTTTTATAAAACTGCCTTCTTCTGCTGTGTGACTATGCAGATTCTTCTCTGTTCTGCATTTTTTCCTGACGCCAATTTTCTTCTCAAGTGTTCTTATGATGTCCTGTGTCGCGTCATTGTTAACATTTCCCTCTGTGTTGCATTTTTTTTCGAAGATTGTTTCTATGGCGTCATACTGAAGAGATTTTTTCTTTTTCCATTTCTATAAAGATGCTCCTTCCTTCGGCCATGTCACTAGGAGATAATTTTTTGTGATGCATTACTTTATGAAGATATTTTTGCCCTGTGCCATCTTGATCATGTTTTTCTACGCGTCCTCCTAAAGAAGTTTTTTTTCCATTTTATTGTGAAGATGTCTTCTTGTTTCCCACTTTTTTTAGGAGGGTCCTCCTTCTCCGCGGCATTCTGAAGATGATGTTTTGGGTGTACATTCTTCTATGAGCAGGTTCCTTCCGCTTCCACATGGTGAAGTCGCCTCTCTGGCCACGTCTTCGTGGAGATTTCCTTCCTGTCGCTTCATTGTGCAAATTTTCTTCCGGCGCATCACTGTGCGAATTTCTCCTTGGCTTCATCATAGTGCTGATACCCTCTTGACTCTTTCATGGTGAAAGATGTTCTTCTGGGCGCTTCATTATGAAGATTTTTCTTTTGCTGTCTCATTTTGAAGATATCCATATGTTTTTCACTCCTAGTTATCATAAACCCTTTATTCCGCGGAATCTTCATCAACATATTTCTTTCTCTTATAAGTAGCGTCTTCATGAATATATATCCTCTTCTTTTACTCTCTTATGCGGATTTCCCTACCGGTGAAGATTAAGTAGGATGACCATATTGATCTGTTAGGGATACCAGAGGGAAACAATATGCTAATGTGTAATATGCACAACGCTCCCTCGGGTTTTACCGTTTCAGCAATTACTATATCCATGGATTAGTACTGTGTAAAAAGTACTCCTGTGTCAACAGCTCTATTATCTGAAGACCGTAATTTTTGAGCAAATGGAAATATCATGCGATGTCATCGTATCAAACATACAAGGGTGTATGTACTATTAATATATGGAGGGTACTAACGCGCTTATTAAGTAGTTATTTGAAGAGAACAAGCACGCTTAGGGTACCATTATTTATAGGGTACTGGTATCCGATTATAACACGCCGCAGTGGTGGGGATGTATGCTTATACTATTATGTCAGGAGTTCTGATGCCCCTGCAATCGTTTATATGAAGGCTTTGCGGATGTAGGCTTCTATTATATGAAGAGTAGTATTTTGTGGAGTACAGGGAGATCCCAGGAGAAATATTGCCTAAAGAGTACTGATGTGTGTGCCTTCTCAATGAGGAAGATTGCGGATTTCCTCATGGTAGTGTTATATGAATGTACTTACAGATGAACTAGAATGATATTTTCAGAGTATTGTTGTTTGAAGACCACACGTCCATAAAAGTTAGGGATGATCTGGAGTAGTATTTCGTTAGCCCTTTTATGTGTGTGTAGTATTCTTATTTGCAGAGCACAGTAGTGCGAAGATTATGCCTGTATCCGAGGCATGATTATTTGAAGGGTTTCGATATACGCAAGGTACTTTTATATAGGGGGCACAATCTTATTAAGCGTAAGAGTATATCCGCAGTAATATGTAGTGAGCTAAAGGTATGTGCCCCGAATATTACTATGGGGTGGATGAGACATTGGACGTTTCGTTATTTGAATAAAACCATTGTTTATACTACACTGAGGTCTTCTCATCTGCGGTACCTTATTTTTGAAAAGGTCAAAATCCCGGCTGTACTATAGGGACATCACAGTCTTACCAACTCCTGTGATGTATCTGCAGGAGCATTCCTTGAGGAGAAGCGGTATCCTAAAAGTAGTATTATAGGAACACTACTGTCCTGCGTGGAATATCATGGATGTTGATAAAATTAATGTTACGAGAATAGCTTTGACGAAAGGATACGAATATCCATAGCATACAAACCACTTATCATTTTAGCAAGGGGAGAAGAGAAAAATGAACTAGAACAAATGCTCAAAATGAAGTTTATACATTGAAGGTAAAGCGACATTGGGCACAATTCTGCATCTCAGAGGAAACATAAATATATAGGGTAGAACCATATAAGTGCTTTAACAGTATCAACGCACATAAACAGGAAGCTGAAAGGAAACATGCAAAGGGAAAGTAGCACCATATAACGAAAAAGGATAAAGGTAACGTAACAAATAAGAGTACCTAAAGCAATGTTAACACACAACAAATGAACCCGAAGGAAAGCAGGGTGAACACGAAAGAGTAAACTTACGGTAAAATATGAGGTGGGATATTCACCGGGCCCAATACCGCATGAAGTAAAAGAGGAGTTTATTGCCAACTTTCATGTCTCAGAATATACGCGATTATTCGCAGTTAGAGAGAAAGATACATAAGTACGAAATTTGTTACCTATATTAATTGGTGTTCTAAATCTTCTTCTGCTTGTATTAAGCGTTATGGCTTGAATTAAAAACTCTACAATTTTATTTGTTGCCCCAGGATGTAATATCCTATGATACCCTTTGTGATTTTATGCATGAAAATATATAATTGCTTAAAATAGATTTATTTCTTCTTTGAAGTTTTAGAAGCTTCCTTAAAAGCTATTTTGTTTTTGTAAAAATATAACGCAATTTCTGGTGTGAATTCTGGAGGAGTTATCACATTCGGTGCCTCTACGGTTAGTGTAATGGATTCTCTTTTTGTTTTATCTAAAATCCTAATCATAAGATATCTATATTGACTGCCTGGGTCACTAGTGGGCAGAGGTGTAACATGGAAGCTGTGTTGTTACCTGTATATTCTGTGTTGCCCTGATTTCGAATATAACCATCCCAATTCTTTGGATCGCATTACTGATATGACTTTGATTTTAGTTTTTCTATTCCTTTGCAAAATATGAGCAAAATGACTATGAGAATAACCTCTTAATTTTGAGACGTCCTCCCCCTTTTTCTATATAGCAGTATTTTGGCAATGGGGAAACTCATTGAGAATGAATAAAAGCAATAAACCACCCTCTTACTCATGTGATGTGTGGATAAGTTCCGCCAGAGTGTTATATATAAATGAACCGTTCATGAGTTAACAAGCTAGAGTAACCCATCCTGTTAGAGAGAAATATGCCCCGAGAACAAAATTATATATCAATTTAAAAGGGACGGGTTTGACTCAAAATGGAAGAAGGAGAAAGTGACGGTTATTCCTAAATAGAATGAAACCTAGGGAAGAATATAGACAACAGGAAACAGGCGGAATGTGGAGGAAGATATAAAGATGCGGAGCCTACCCATAAGACTTGAACGCCCCCATACTTGAATACCCGAAGAAAGAAGTGCAGCTTCAGACGTGAAACTACATTTAAAGGAGGTGCAAAGATTAGAATGTGAGCTGAACATATGTTTTTTTAAGGAGTTATGCACAACTGAAATTCGTATTTCACTAAATTTAATCAAAAATCCAGAGTATCATACTTTAGATTGAAAGTTTTCATCAAACGAACCTAAGCGTACACTACAGTATATGTTGAGAGCCACCAAGCTGCGTATGAACCCGACTGTATTGTTCCATTCCGGCAGAGTAGAATTATTCTGAAGCCACAGAATATGGAATTAGTCAGATCCACAAACCCTTCAAAAGTTAAGGATCATAGGTGAGTTGACGAGACTTTAATATTCGCGCGCTTTATTAAGAGCAATACTGAAGACATTCTGTGGTACCATTTATGACTTGTATCAAGTCTTATTCCCGAACAATCCTGTAAAAAATCTTTGAAACTGCCGCCCATAGCATAGCAGCAGCTACGTTGCAATACTAAAACCTGCTATACTCTATATATCTGACAGCCTACACCAGCAGACTGATTTAGTTGTGAACTGGACGATGTGGAAGATTTTCCCCACCTCACTTTACCAAAATTACTATAGAAAACAAACTTGATCACTACACATCCTTATCATTCCGTCACTGTCTCCCAAGAATAATCCCTCCACAGTGTAATTAATGTGATAGGAATATTCTTCTCTATCACTGAAGTAATAGTCCTAAGAGATATATCATCTCCTTAAGGAATAACATATCTATGGATTAAGCTAAAAGATAAATCTGGGCATGTTACGAGGGTATGGGATTTTTTTATTTATTTTTTACAAGTATTAAGAAAAGGTTCATTTCCTATTTCATCTCAGCTTCCCATCTTGTTCTGTCATTTTAACTTTAAAAATTTAGCACAGGAGTATATTACCTACGGGCAACCTTATTCTTTAGGATTGAATAAAACGAAGAAGGTAATATAAGAGAAATCCAGGAAGATTTTATCGGCATAGTGAATGATTGGATTTATTCCGATTATTTGTTTCTTCCTTTCTCTCGTTCGGCTAATATTTAAGGACCAAAAATGAGGAGAAGGAAGATCTACAATTATAAGTCGTTTTCTAGTCCAAAAAATACAAATGTCGTGATATATTTTCTATGATGCCAACCGTATTAAATAATGAAATCATTATAAAAGGTATAATTAGTTCTTTATCAGAAGATATAGGGGTATATCACTCCTATTATGACAAAAGCAATCTATGATAACAGGATTAAAAATATTAAAATAAAAAAAAGAAAAAGTACTATACCCAAGAGACAAGCAAGTTAATGTCTCTAAAGACCCATAAGTATCATATGATATGAATGTACATTAATAATTAGTAAAGTTCTGAAGTTAATAAATAAAAGAGAAAAATTGACTAGTGTTCTATCCTAATCTGGATTAGATTTTCAATAGTGCCTAAGAAGAGAACAGGGGGACCCCGGGCCAAAATCAAGTAATTAGGTTACTAAAATAATAATTGTGGAATTATTGTCAAATCGAAACAACAGCTAGGCAGAAACAATTCCTACACAACCCCTTATAGATTATAGAAAGACATATAAAAAGAATATTTAGTCATTAACTCGCTTTCTCCAGTAGTAACAATCTTCCCTATATGAAAAATCGTATATATGAGTTCCTCAAGTACATCTGATAATCAGGTGCAGTTAGTAAATTTCTTAAAATCTCTATTAAAGGACGAGGAACGGTCACAGTCTAGGTAGCACGACCTTATCTTATTAAACTCCAGATCCTGAAAAGATATTAATATTTCCTATATCAGATATGGAAGAATGAAAAAATTTTTTAATTTATATAAGAGGAGCTGAAGTACTAGAAGGATTAATCTCTAAACTAAATAACAGGTAGACTCCCAGCGACATCACGAGACAATTTTCTCTGGCAACCCAGACCCCCCCCCAATCCCACCTCATGAGAATATGAATAAATCACCAAAGTTCCTCCCCATGCAAGAGAATAGACCGAGATGATGAGACTCGACAATATAAAGTGAGTCTTAATAACGAGCTCAACCCCCGCCACAGCACCTCCTCTCCTCAAAAAAAAAACAGGCTGAAACCAAATATCTCTAAAATCAGACTGAAGAGAAAAACCCACCACAACCCCCCCTTTCACTGAATAGGGATCAGAAACCCCAGGTGCATAAGCCATCCGGTTCCAGAAATTGACCGTTAAATTAATTATCCAAGACGAAAGAGCAATCCCCCTATTATCATTAGGCACCGACCCCCAAGAGTCAAGTACGAATCAGAATTTGAGCTCAACGAAGAGAGGGAAAGAAACAGCATCTCCCAGCTTCAGCTGGAACTCACCACTGAAACCTCATGATAAATTACAGCTGGGATCCTATTGACTAAAGTCTCCTGGGTAATCTAAAGGCATTCAATAAACACGCAATTTCGTCTTCGCTATAAACAACCGCCTGAACACCTCCAAACCGGAAGCCTAGGCAACTAAAACTTAATCACGGACGACAACTCCAAGACTGACACCAGAAAACTCCTACCGAAGTAAATTTCGGTGCCTCAAAGAAGGAACTTGAATAAAAGTGAATCTCCTCCTTGGACACTAAGGGGAACATCATGTTGAGGGATAGACGACGAAGGCGAAAACATGCTGACAAACAGAAACTGAAGCATGATAAAACGATCCACAATCCAAAAAAGCCAGTAAAAACAATAAGAAAAATCAGGATCCCCAAATTGTATTCCTGAGAAGGTACAACTAAACCCCCGAACGCTCACCCAGAGATGAAGAACCCCAAAAAAGACAAGGAAACTCTCGAATCTCAGGGAGTACCCAGCCTCCCCCAAACCAAACATATAAACTACGCCCCTCAGGTCAGTAGGAAAGGAGGACCAGAAGTAAACTAAGAAAAGGGAGCAAGTACCAGCCCAATTCACCTCCCAACCGGAGGGGGGACACCAACTACAGAATAAGGAGCAGCAGCTATGCCCCGAGAAAGCAGTCCAAAAATTCAGATGAGGGATAAGCCGAATGATAGCTGAAGAGCGCCTCTAACCAGAAAACCATGAACATTAAATAATGAAAAAAAAAGAATAAGGTAAAGTGCGGAACGCCCCCGAGGAACAACACCTACAATCCCCAGGTCAGGAACAACTAGAAATCAATCAACAACCAGAAGCCCCAGTAGAAACAGCCAGATAAAAACACAAAGCACGAATCTTCGAGTAGCCCCAAAGATCAAAATTCTCACCAGGGTGGGCAGATTAAGAACGATAAGGCAGGACCCAAGGTGACTATTAAAACAACCTACTAGGAACTGACCATCGAATCTGATATCTCCAGACGGGAAGGAAACCAAGCCTTCAAAATGAAGCTCCCAAGACAAAAACGAAACGTCTACCAGCAGGACCGTATACTAGAATGGACGCTAGCTCTTGAGGAGCTGCCCAGTAGCTAGACACAAGAAACTGGCCGAAGCTGGAGCAGACGAACAAACATCAACGAAAAAGCGGAGGAGTCTCTCCCCCAAAAAACAACAGGAGGAAGGAGGGAATAATTTAAAGACGAGGAACAAGAAACCCTAAAAACAAAACAGGAGCCCCCAGCATCACAAAGGAGGATAGGGGATTGAGCACAGTAGCTAACCAGAAACCGGGGTAAGGATAACTGGGAGAAATATCAGCAGGTAGCATGACCACCTCCTCCCCGACTCAACTAAAGCGATTCTCACCACAGACCTCACCAGGTCAGAAGAGGTTCGAGGCACCAAGAGACAAAAGAACTCTGATCAACCTCAAAAATCTGAGGTAGATAAACGGCAAGACAAACTGTAAACGCACCGGAAGCAACAACAAAGGACCAGATAAGCTAATGATGTGGCAAAACTTCTATCAGGGTAAAGCCGAAGCAACTGATCGAAGCAGGAACGTCCAATCCAAAACAGCTTGCTACCCGTAACATCCACTCGGGCCGAAACGTTAAAATTCCGTTAACAACTCAAGCCCGGAAAAGAAACCCACAGAAGGAAGTATTTCAAATCACTGGAGCGTCTCCATAAACCCTGCCCCCTACCACAAAATAGTCAGGCAAGAGGAACTTACGGGGCCACCTTCGGTTTAAAGGAACAAACAATGAAGCTCATGTCTCAGCTCGAGAGGGCCAGAGGGAGGATCCCCCGTTGAACCCAACCTTCCTAGGAAAGTTCAAGAAGTAGGGGATGAGTGACATAGGGTACAAGTAACCGAAGGAAGACGAGGCATCACCTTAGGACAAAGGGAAGGTGGAGCGATCCTGAGATGCGAGAACAGCTCGAAGAATCTGATTTCGAGCAGCAGGCGCCCACCAAAAACCTCCAGAAAATCACTGCACCCAAGGGATTTATTGCTAAAATCCAACTACTAAGCCGCACTAAACCGCTAAGAACAGCAAGACGTGAAGACGAATATGAGAACCTCAGGCCTAAAAAAGAGGGACGAATAAGACTGGCCGGGAAAACCCAAAAGGCTCACAGGCAGTCAAGAGAAGATAGATTCTGGGAATCTGTGTAGAACAAGAGCAAAAGTCAAAGGAAAATTAAGAAAGCAAATATCTCCCAAGTCCGTTCACGAAACCAAAGGCCCTTGTGGATATCTTCCAGCCCAAGACTAGGACTGGAACTAACAATCCAAAAGAAGACAAATCAACCAAGGCGGCAGCCGAAGAGAAAAAATTTCAAAATAGTCCCCCCAAAGCAACTCGAATCATAAGTCAAGCAATAAATCGAACAAAAAGCAGGAAGCTAATCTTCCAGTACCTGGAGCCACAAGTTAAAAGGAGTCTGTATAGGTGAGCATCCGCCAAGGAAGCTTCTCATACGCCTAGCCAATTCAAGACCAGCCAAACACTCCCAAGGACAAAATCCAAAACAGAGGAAAGCATCTGGAGGGAAGGAGATTCCATGGGCCATCTCTAAGGCCGGGACAAGGCCCCTGGGGCGGATAAGTAGTATACACAGAAAATAAGTGGCATATAAGAGGGAAAGAAAGGGAAGAGTAATTCACCGGGAAGGTCAGGCAGAACCCCCTACATCCGCCGACAACGACCAGACCGGAGGCTAAAATGAAGAGTGGGAAAACGAGTAGAGATAGTCACTGAATTAGACGTCTACGACAAGCCCGGGTCGGTAATAGGAATAACAGAGAAAGTGCCAAAGGAGAGACTTGAAGAGTGAAAGGATCAAGCATAAAAAAAACTGGGGATGTCGGGGCTGAAATTGAATACGGAGGCCCAGGCCGAGTAGCTTATGTTACAGTATCGGATTCGAACACTAATGCAGAAAGAGACGGAGTATAATGTCTAGTTCTGATTGAACCAACAGAGGGCCTTGCCCAGCACCAGGAGAGGTCCCAAGTAGGACAAGGAAACTACAGGACAATCTGGGGATTCATGCATGAAGCCTAAAAGAACCGAACGACGCCCCTTGCCAAGAGGCGAAATGGGAAATTTAATAAGAGGAAGCTAGGAAAAGTCAGATGAAGAACATCTGTGGTTCAAAAGAGGTACAAGAAGCTCCCCATAGTGGAAACAGTGGAGAAGAGTACAACGGAGTTGGAACCGAGACCAAGTGTAGGAAATGACGGAGACAAGTTTAAGGCGGAGCCAGAATGATGGAAAGGGGAGAAACGAAGAGAGGCTAAAAAGAGCACAGTCTCTGTCTTGGCATAAGTGAGAAGGACAGACAAGATGGACAACTTAAGTAACCGGAGAATAAACAATAGCTTCAGTAAGCGCCCCCCCACGGCGCAACCCCTGATAAGAGTAGAAGGAAACAGAAACCGAAAAAACCCAAAGGAGAAACGCACGTGGGGGAGAGCACGGGTGAAAACAGTAGCCCTAAGACTCCGCAGAGGGAGGTTAGGGAAGATATGGGCTAGGAGTCAGACACGAACATAACACTCCCCCAGGACCCAAAGTGACCCGGAGGCCGAGAACACCATCGGAAAGTTAACTGGCCGTCACTCCCTGAAATGGAAATCAGGCAAACAGAACACGTGACCCCAAGCCGTCTCAAAGCCAACGCGGGGGTAGAGACCGTAGGGGATACATTTGGTTAGGTGAGATATCTCCCCCCATCCCTCCCGCCTCAGAACCCAGTAGAGAATGAAGCTGAATGGGAACCCCAGATCACGGTTCTAGGGGAGACGTATAGGGGGAAAAATCCAGCTCGAGAATCAGTAAATGAAGCCTCAGCTGGGGATTGCCCAACAGATTGACTGAAGAGAGTCAGGTGAGGAACCCAAGGCTAGGAGGCGGAAGCAGCAGCACAATAAAGACAAGAGGACGAGTGAAGGACTATAACCGCAATCGGGTCATAGGACGAGTTAGGTAACAGAGTCTTAGAAGGGATAGCCGCCATAGTAGGGAAAAGAAACAGTAGCGGCGCCTCAATTGAACAGCTGGGAGGCTCCGGATATGATAAATAGCATCTTCACGGGACACTGCGGGAGGTTAGATAAGGACCTATCGACCGAGGTCTCAGACGATCTGAATATTCTAGGAGTGAGAGAAATAAATAACGTTAGAAAGAGCAGATGATCCGACTAAAAGAGACGAAGAAAAGGGAAGGCTGGTCGATGTTGCAACCGCACACAGCAGCCGACCAATGTAAACAAGAGTACCATAGGTATTGTCTAGGAGCCATAAAAGGATATCAGGACGCCGTTCCGGGATTCCTGGGGGATTGGGGTACAAATCTTGAGGAGATGACCAAAGCAATTGACTGGAATAAACTGAAGGAAGGTGAGGATGGAATGATGAAATCGATGATTGGGTCTGGGGGGGATAAGTATGAGTGGGCAGGCCTTTTAACTTGTGTGATGTATGAAGCCATAAAAGTTCAAAAAATAGATATAAAAGCCAAACACCCCCTAGGGCCCGTATGGGACAGACATTGTTGGCCGAAGTTATTAAAAAGAGGCACCACAGACAATTGGGATCAGGGCGCAACAGGACAGAGCATGTTAAAGGCTGTAGCATGTTTAATGAGAGCTTTAATTGGATATGATCGTACAGAACAACATAACGACGACGGAATAAGGAATAGGTGCCAGCCTATATGGGACAAAGTGGCATTGAGGTTAAGAATAGGGGAACAATCAGCAAGCCAGGATGGAGATGAACAGTTAGGACGATTCGTGAAGCAACTGAGAACCAACGAAACTCCTGGGGAGCCGGAATGTACGAGACTGGGGTTAATTTTAACCATATATTATGGTATGAGATCTTGTGCGGAAAGGAGTCGAGCTTATGAGTTAACGGGTCTGATTCGCGGAGGTTCAGAAGGGCTGAGAAGGATAGGTCAATGTCAATTTCAAGGGCAGACCCTTAGTTGTAAAGCAACTGACTCTCCTTCTGAAGGGACAAATCTAAATATTTGGACGACAACACAGCAGAGCCTCATTACGGGACTCCCCCCCGTTCCTCAGAAGGTGCTGAAGTTGACCGAAACAGATAGCGGAAATCCCCTACCCAAAGGGGCCCCCACCGCAGGCGCGTCAAGAAGCGATTTCACCTGGGTCAACAGTTGGAACCAACAGCAGAAAAACAAACATCTGGAAGAACAAAAATCACCGCTTTATGTGAGAGGACATGGAAACAGCGATGACTTGAGGCAAGAGTCCCGCGAACGCAAAGAATCCAGCGCAACCCGAACACCCACCTCCCCGAGGCCAGGCAATGATGAGGTTAACGTTGAGGTACAAACGAACCAACCTATTCAGGCAAGTAATGTATCGGAGTCAAGGGACCCCCGAAGCCCCCAGGGCCAGGAGTTCCCAACCAGGAGCCACGACCCGATGAAGTTAAAAGAGCAAGGACTCCTCAGCCACACACAACGACAAGAGACGACTAATGATAATCATCTAAACCAAGGTCAATTAGGACAAAGACATCTCACCCCAGCCGACCGTCAGACTGAGCTGGTAGAGATCGGGTTGGGTCCGAAAGTAGGATATGGTGTAGGAGGACTAATGGCAGGAGTCCTGTCGCTGGCGAGTCTATATGGTCTCTACAGGTTGTATTTTAAGAAACCCAGAAGGAACAAACCTTCCTTCCCACAGCTCAGCACGAGGGACAAATATGAAAAAGCAGGATTAAGGTACGTTCCTTAACCCGACGTTCCCCCAGGGCCACTTAAGGGAACAAAATATCAAAGCGTCACGAGTCTAAAGATACTAAGCACAAGTGGGGCTTATCCGGTCCCGAAGCCGCCAACATGGGGGCAGGTCATAGTTGATAGGAGGAACCCACGAGAAGCTGCTTAGCCCAAAACATCACCATATAAAGGGTAAATAACCCCCCAGAAACCAAGGAACCAGACCAAACCAGCCCCACGGCAGCTGGAAGGAGTAGAATTGGACTCTCAGGATCTCTTAAGATATGACTGCATGCCTCCCCGGACGGAAGAAATCAATATCTGACCGAAGGGTGCTTAGCACCTCAGCTACAGTCAAGACTCCACTGCATTCAATCTCCAACCGGACAAGGGACAGCGGGGGTGTAGCAGAATGTACGCCCTTCGGACTGGAGTCTTGTGTCTGACCCAATTAAGGGGTTCCTCACTATGAGAGAGAGGCCGACATGAAGGCCTAGATCAAAAATCAATTGGCATCCGGTGGCTAATGATCAAGTCTAGGAGGTAGGACGGGGGCAGGTAGCGTCCCTCCCGGATGCACTGTGGGGCGGACTATAGGAACAGATCCTGGGGAGTAATGATTCAGGGTTCCTACTGTAGAATGACGAACACACGTTGAGGAGTGTCGCGTCTGGAGGTCGAACAGCTGCATCGGGGGGTTAAGTTCCGACTTCCCATATAAGTTTACGGTTGAGCGTTTAGGCATCGACCTCTCGCCGTCCCTATTCCGCGTTTTGGGGTTCCAAGGTTAAGGGTTAGAACTTGAGATTTAGGGTTCGAGGTTTAGGGTTTGCTTTTTAGTTGTCCGGTTCGGGGATAGGCGTTTAAGGCGTAGGTTTTGGGTTCAGGGTTTAGGGTTTCAGGGGTTATGGTTTAGGGTTTAGGTTTCAAGGTCTAGAGTTCAGGGTAAGAGTTTAGGGTCTAGGTTTAGGGTTCAGGGTTCAGGTTCTAGGCTTAGGGTTTCAGGGTTTAGGGTTTAGGTTTCCTGGCTCAGTTTTCAGTTTTCAGGGTTCAGGGTTAGAAGTCATGGTTTAAGTTTCAAGACTTATGGTCTTAGGGTTCAGTGGTCAGGGAGTTGGGGGCAGGGCTCAGTCTTCTGAGTTACGGGTTATGGTTCTGGGGTTAGGGTTCAGGGTCCTCGGTTTAGGTTTTAGGCTTCAGGGCTTTGGTTTCAGGGTTTAGGTTCAGGGGTAAGGGTTTAGTCCCCTGGTTCAGGGTTTAGGGTTTAGATTTGGGGCCTATGGTGCAGCTTTTACGTGGAAGGATCAGGTTCAGGGTCAGGTCTAGTCTTTAGGGTTTAGTTCCTACGGTTGATGATTCTGGGGATCAGGCTTAGGTTTAGGGTCAGGGTTTAGGGGTTAGGGGTTTAGTATTCATGTGTCAGGGTTTAGGTTTGAGGGTTTAGGCTTAGTGCTTAGGTGTAGGTTTAGTGTCTATTCTTTAGGGTTCAGGTTTTAGTCCTCAGGCTTAGGGTTCAGGGGTCAGGGATGAGTTTCAGGGTTTAGGGGTCAGTGTTTAGGTTTAGTTCTAGGGTTTAGGCTCTCCTTTTACGGTTTTAGCCTTAGGTTTCTTGGTTTAGTGATTAGGATTAGGTTTAATGCTCAGTCTTTACTGCCTCCGGGGGACTTTTCACCTTTTACCTGTTACGGAACAGTCTGTTATGTTGCTGGATTCTTGTTTAGGGAATCCCATTTCAGGTGGTATACCCTAGTGGTCACGGCCTAGGATCTTGGGAAGATCCTGCCTCCTTATATTCCTTGGATTTTATGTCATGTGGTATCTGTGACGATTTGGGTCCTTAGGGTCAGGTGTCCTTTCCTAATCCTCAGGTCAGTTTTCTCTGTTACGTCCCGTTTGTTTTTTTGCTTCGGTTGTCCCGGATTTCTTTTTAGGACTTAGATTTGGTTTCTGTTTTATTCCTTCCATTTTCTTTCTTGTGTAAAGCGTATTTCGGTTCAGCTCAACCTGGAAGGTCGGGGTGGCCCTGGGGCTTCCTTGTTTAATCTTTATCTTCTTGAGTTCAAGCATCTAGTTGTAGGGACTACAGGCAGTGGTTCCCCTCCAGGGGCGAGAGGGTTGCTGTTAGGGATTTATATCTTATAGACCCTGGGGTCAGGGGGCGTCGGGTCGTTTTATTGATTATCCTTTCCTGTCTATTTCTCTTTTGTTCTGACTCGGATCTTTGGGGGTTAGTTGCTGCTGCTCTGTTGTGAGTTTCGTCGGATTGAGGGGGTAGGAGAGGGGGGTTTGACGAGATTTTTTGGAGTTATTCTTCATTTCCTATTTTTCCGCTTTAGGTGGCGGGTCCTTATGGTGCTTGGGTATTGATCAGGGAGTTAGGCTTTGGGAGATAGTGGCTGCCTGGAGGTTACTTATTAGGTCCTATTTCGTATTGATTTGCCTAATGGCTCTACTCTCTAGGGAGGACTTTTTTGCATTTAGTGGTTAGGGATAAGGGAGCAGTTTGTAGTTTCTCGCAGTTAGAGTTCAGGGACTTGTCTTTTGGCTCTATTCTCCCAGCGTTGTTTCTCGTGATGAGAGTTGATAGACCGCGTGGTTTTTCTCCTATTGGGGAGGCCTTCAGGCTTCTGATCTTCATTTTAGATTTGTGCCTTTGTTATTTACTTGTCAGGGTTTAGCTGTCGGATCTATTCTGTAGGCTTTACGCTCATTTTCCTCTATTGGGTCTCTCCTGATGCGAAGGTACTCTTCCTCCCTTCATATTTACGCGTCACCATCTATTATACACGGGGTAAGCCTTAGGGTTGATACTTTTGTTCCTAGGCTTGGTCTGGTTTGTTCTCTTCTTTTGTTCTGGCCTCCTATTAGTCGTTGTCATAATTCTTCGGCTTAATGTTTTGTTGCTGATTCGGCTGTCCTACCTCTAGGCTTGTTTCCCTACGGTTCCTTTATTTGCTTTAAGGCCTTAATTTGCTTCTTCTTTTTCTTCTATAACCTGTTTGGTGTAGTTTTGTTTAGCTTCCTCATTTGACTCACTCCTTTGGGCAGCGGGTATAGGGAACCCCTCTTATTTCTCAGTTTTTAGCTGTCAGACCCTATCCCTTCGTGGGTATGGCTCTGTTTCATATTTAGCCTGTCTTAGGTCATTTCTTGTTTGCTTTCATCCAAGACGGACTTTTGGGGGGGTTTTTTAATTGTAGGACTGCCGAGATATGCTCGCTGGCTCCGATCCGTAATTTTCCTGTTTCAATGGCTACTCCTCCTTCTTTACCTCTTGAATGTGATCCTGACGACTGAATTGATCCTGGCTAATGCCTGTGGGGGTGTCCTTGACAGATTTCATCATGTCTTCCCTTTCTGTACGCCTTAGGATTAGGGGCCTGCTGTGGGGTTCTTATTCGGTCGTGATGAATCTTTAGGGAGTGATGATAACCGATTTTACGTATCAAAATGAATTCGCCTTTATAATTCTTTGATTTTAGTTTTTACTAAAAAATAACTATCAATACAGTAAATGAGTTAGCCTGTATATCTACATATTTATGCATTTCCGGAGGAATTAGAAATAATTCCTCTATTCTTTAATGAGATTACAGCTACTGATTCCTAATAAGCCACATAATATCTCTAATATCTTAAAAAAACAAAACAAAATAAAAGGAGCAAATAAGCTAATTCGAATTCGTCAATAGTAGCCCCTGAAATAATCATGGAGGATTTTTGGCATCACTGGAAGACAATCATATATACGTCCTTCCTGTGAAGTCGGTTGTATCATGTACTGAATCCTACTAGACTTTTCCTTTATCATGTTTCCGATTGGATTTTGATTTGGAGCTGTTCTTGTATTTAACATGACTATTATTGGAATGCCTTTGTGCTATTAAGACTGGGTCACTTTTAATGAAATATTATCTACAAATATAATAATATGTCTTCTGTAGTCATCGATTTAGTGGTCCTTTCCTCCCCCTTGATTTGAGTATGGCCTGTTTAAGAAATTAAACACATCCCTCTCTATCAATCGGGTTCATCTGATAATGTATACATAATGGGAAAAGGAATATGCATCAAGATTATTTCATATATACAGGAAGGTTAAAGTTTTTTCCGGGTAAAGAGGGTAAAGACGCATGTGGGGTGCAGAGAAATGAATAATGGAATTCCTCTGTCTCTATCTATTTCGCCCTTAGACCCCTATAGATATTATATATATTTATATATATACGGAGCTTTCATTTTCGTCATGGCTTGTTGCGGGAGAGGAAGTCATCTCTTTCATGAGTTGCGCTTAGAATACTATGATCACATGGCTTAATGCTGAACCCCCCCCCAATGATTTCTTCGATATTTTGGTGTATTTTTTCTGCTTAGATTGGCGACTCATTGAATTAACCGATTAAATCTTCCACATAATATAAAGGCGAGATGTGTCACATCACGAAACTTTTATGCACATTATAATATTAAGTGTTTCTCACAGAACAAATCCAGGGGCGTAAGAGAAATAATTTGTTCAGATAAAAATACACTATGACTTTACATGTCTGATTTCGGTCGTCTTGCAAACGAAAGAAAAAAACATATACGGCTTAGATCTGCGCCATTAACAGATAAATAGTTATATACTGCAGTAATTAATTTATCATTAAGGAAGACACAGAAGGAACAAGTTGTTGGTGGTCAAAATTTCTTCATACAATGAAGTGGCAATGAATGTTGCGCCTGAAGGGATTATAGAGTGAGAAGTACAGTTGAATACACGATGTGCATAGTGGCACACTCGCAGTTCGGTATCTGACACTCCACTTCGGAATATCTAGAAACAGGTATCCGCAAATTGTCGGCCTCTTGTGTTCTATTATCCTTAGGTGCGCCCTATTCATAATTAGGAGTTCCCCTTCAGCTCAGAGAATCTCTTCTGCTGTTTGCTTCCACCTAAGTTGAGGACTCTTCTCATAAAGTAGTCACCTAATTCCATTTCATCAAACCCAGATAACACGCCATCATCAGATTCAGAATGGGTGGAACTTACATTTTTATCTGAGTTTCTTCCTCTCAGACACCCATCTCCATTTAACTCCGAGAAGTTCCTCTGCTTTATTGGGGGCATTATCTCGTTCTCCAGGCGGGCTATTTCGTGCGACAAAATTTTTAAAATAATCTGGAACGACAGGTGGTTTACACATTAGTCATATGTATATTATCTATAGTCCATATGTATAGACCGCTTTCTCCATATAAACATCCCAAAAAAAGGTACATTTGATCCAGGGTAAGAACAAAATAAGAAATTTCTAGAGGCTTCTATTATTTCTTCAAGAAATTTCTACTCCATATAGCTTCCTAGTAGCAACATATTAGTGGCGACAACGAGAAGTGAAACTGAGCAGGAGCGAAAAAAGGGATCTTCGGAAGTTAAGGCCATGTGAGGTCCTGTTCCCGGCTTCAGGGGCGGGAGAACGTTTTTTGTTCTTCGTGTTATTCCTAGGTGAGCTTTCATCAGCCAAAGCGGAATTGGATTGGCTGAGAAAAGCCATAGTAGCTTAATTTAATTCCTGTGGTGCATATTAGTATACATAAAAAAGGCTTATTACGTGGGCGAATATTGTTCTAAATATATAACTGAGGTGGGTTTTGTCTTGTTATCATAAACTGCGTTAAAATACGTTGAAATATTTTAAACTACCTTCAAATACGGTGTAGTAGGTTTTAAACTGTTAAAATATGTAGTAAAGAGTACTTCTTAAATAAGTTTGACAA